TAACATCATAGAGTGTAATTACACAAATCTAGATGGTATCAGCTTACTACATATCTAGGCTATGTGTTAGAGCCAATTGTTCCTACGCTATAAACCCGTATAGCATGTTGCTACACTCAATAATATAGAAAATTGCAATACAATGGTAAATATTTGTCTATGTAAACACTAAGGTATAGTCAAAATACCATAGAAAATATTAAAAATGATACACCTGTATAGGTAATTACCATGAATGGAGCCTGTGGCACTGGGAAGCTGCCCTGGGTAAGTCAGAGAGTGCGTGGTGAGTGAATGTGAAGGCCTGGGACATTACTATACACTACTGTAGACTTTACCAACACTGTACATGTACACTTAGGCTACACTAAATTTATTTACAAATTTTGTCTTCAATAAATTAAACTTAGCTTACTGTAACCTTTTCACTTTATAAACATGAAGACACAAACACACACGGTAGCCTATGCCTACAGAGGGCCAGGATCATCAATGTCACTGTCTTCCATCACCACATCTGGAAAGTTTTCAAGGATAATGACATGAATGGAGCTGTCAGCTCCTGTGATAACAAGGCCTTCTTCTGGAATACGTCCTGAAGGACCTGCCTGAGGCTGTTCTACAGTTCACTTTCTTTAAGTAAGTAGAACACTCTAAAATAATGATAAAAAGTATTGAAAATACATAAACCAGGCTTGCAGTCACTTATTGTTATCACACATTAGTACTGTACATAATCGTATGTCCTAGACTTTTAAAGGACTGGCAGGGTGGTAGCTTTGCTTACATCAGCATCACCACAAACATGTGAGTAATGCATTACACTGTGACACCACGATGTCATTAGGTAGTGAGAGGAATTTTTCAGCTCCATTATTATCTTATGGGACCACTGCTGTATATGAGGTCTGTAATTCACTGAAATGTCATTATGGGATGCATGACTGAATATGGTTGTAAGGTTTTTATGGTATATGTGAAGCGGTATAATATTATTTGAAGGGAGATTATGCTAAGCTAAAGATGTATCTTGAAAACATAAACAGTAAAGATAAAATAAGGTGCTAAAAATCCTCAATCCAAAGGAAGAAAGAATAAAAGTAGAAAGGGAACAAAAAAGTGATCAAATAGAAAACAAATAGCAAAATGATAGGTTTAAACCAAATCACATGGTTGTTATATTAATAATTACATTAAATGTAAATATTCTAATCAATTAAAAGATTATTAGATTGGTTAAGAACAACACTAACATGCTAACTGCAAAAAATACACTTTAAATATAAAATGTTTGGTTAAGAGTAGTAAATAATGTATATATATCATATAAACATTAAGCATAAGAAAGCTGAAATGGCTATAATAAAACCAGAGAAAACGTTTCAAACAAAATCTCACCAGTGACAAAAAGATTCATTTCATGATGACAAAGGGGTTGATTCATTAAGAAGACATAATGATTCTTAGTTTAAATGTGACTGAGTGGAAATTTCAGTAATGGATAAGTAGAAAGAAAATCAGGAAGGATATTGAACAACATGATCAAACAAGAATACTTCATAAACATAAACATATCAATTCAACCAGTTTAGAAATTTAAAAATTTAGAATACTAAATTTTTATTTGCCCAAAAACAGAGCTTCAAAATACATGGAGTAAAAACTGACACAACTGAAAGAAGAAACAGTTATCTATACAAGTTGATATGATTTGGCTCTGTGTCCCCATCCAAATCTCATTTGGAACTGTAATCCCCACAAGTCAGGGAAGGGACCTGGTGGGAGGGGGCGAATTTCCCCCATGCTATTCTTGTGATAATGACAATTTAAAAGTGTATGGCACTTCCCCCTTCGCTCACATGCTCTCTCTCTCAGTTTCTCTCTCTCTCTCTCCCTCCCTCCTGCTGCCATGTAAGATGTTCCTTGCTTCCCCTTCACCTTCTGCCATGATTGTAAGTTTCCTGAAGCCTCCACAGCCATGTGGAATGGTAAGTCAATTAAATCTCTTTTCTTCATAAATTACTCAGTCTCACGTAGTTCTTGACAGCAGTGTGAAAATGGACTACTACAAAAGTATAGTTAAGAATTTCAGTCTTCTCTCAGCAATTGATAGTTCAAGTAGGTTAAAAAATCAGTAAAGATTTAGAAGACTTGAACAATACTATCAACCAATTTGACTTGATATTTATAGTACATTTCACAGTAGAAAAACACATATTATTTCTAAGAAATTTGTTAGCGTAGGATCCATCGGCACAGGAGACAGAAGACTGACTACTGAGTTCAGAGAAAAACTAGGAAAGTACAGTATCAAAGGAGCCAACAGAGAAAGTGAATTTAAAAGAACAGTGTATATGAATTCTGTTGAAAGAAGAAAAGTCAAGAAAGGTGAAAGAGAAAATTGTGCAGAGAATCTGGCAATATACTGGTAACTGATGATCTGAACAGAGCTGCTTTAGTGGACGAACAGGCTAAAAGCCATATTGGAATGTATCGGGAAGTAAATGTATGTAGAAACTGTAATGAGACTGCAATATAGTCAAGATGCTTGGTTGCAAAAGGAGACAGAGAAATGGGATGGTAGCCAGAGAAGGACATTGTGTTCAAAAGAAGTTTGCTATTTTTGATGAGATTTATTAGAACACATATGTTGAGTTAACGATCCACTATCAAAGTTGATGACACAGGTTAGTGTGGCAAAATTAATGGAGTCAGTTCCTTGAACAGTGAGGAGTTGGGACCAAAGCACAAGGGGAATTTTCTTAATCAAGTAAAAAGTCCCACCAGTATTATAACTTAACATTTGTAAAAAAGAGCTTTAAAAATGTTTATAAAAGGTTAAATTACCCCACCTTACTAAACAGATTATATAAATATTTATAGGATGGGCAGGGATGGTTTTGTGTTCTTTTCTTAAATGGCTACAGTCTGCTTTGGTTTTCTAGTGTTTTTTCTTGCCTCTTTTCTCATAGTCCTTTACATGAAATCTGCATCACTGTTTCTAATTTGCTATGGTTAGTTCCAGAGTAAGTACTTCCATAGAACTCTTAACGCTGGACTAAGGTCATAAAAGGAAATAAAACAATCAAATGTATTATGCGAAGAATATTAACTTTGTAGACAGCAATAAGGTATTAAGAAGCTCTAGGCTAAAGATGATCATACATCTTTACTACAAAAAAAGTACATGAATTGTATGATAGTCCTTATCTATAAGCCTTTCTCTCTGACTCTGAAGATCATAATTTGTTTTGATAGTTCACACCTTTCAAAAGACTGACTGCCATTAGATAAATGAGGGTATTTAATAATCTCTAAATTTAAGATAAGCATAAGAAAATATGTCACAAAATAACAGTATATCCAGCTGAAAAATTAAATTGGAAATCAAAATGACTTTTTATTTATTTGAGACAGAGTCTCACTCTGTTGCCCAGGCTAGAGTACAATGGCACAATCTTGGCTCACTGCAACCTCCATCGCCCAGGTTCAAGTGATTCTCCTGCCTCAGTCTCCAAAGTAGCTGGGATTACAGGCGAACACCACCACACCCAGCTAATTGTTATATTTTTAGCAGAGGTGGGGTTTCGCCATGTTGGCCAGCTGATCTTGAACTCCTGACCTCAAGTGATCCACCCACCTCAACTTCCCAAAGTGCTGACATTACAGGCATGAGCCAGCATGACTGGCCAAAATGACATCTTTAAAAAATAGTTAAGGACTAAAGAATTCAGACAATTCATTCCTTTACAGACTAAAATAAATGAAAAATGCCCAACCTCACTTGTAAAACACAGAAACATAAATTTAAACTAATCAATACCATCACTCATTTGTTAAATAAACAATTTTAAAGTAAATGATAATAGTGACCATGACAGTAGAGAACTACTGAGAAGCTGGAGCTAAAAAATAAAGGGAGAAACAATGGGCCCTGCCCGTACTCTGTAAGCCCATGCATCTAGTCTCCCTCCAGGCTGTCTCAGAAATGGAACTAATACATTCCTTTTATTGCCTAGGCTGGTTGGAATTTGGTTGCTATTTGGCATACAGAAAAATGGGTGTGTTTTCACATACTATTGACAGCACTATAAACTATTTGGAAATCAGGCAGTATTCAATACAACCTTTTGAATTCCACTTACAGAAATTTATTTTATGGAAATAGTTGTGGTTATGTACAAAGATAGGGGTGTAGGTGATTACAACAACAAAAATTAAAGTGGAAAGGCATAACAATAGAAACAGATTTGTAAAAAGATTATGATAAGCAGCCCAATGGAATGTGGTTATTTATGATGATATAAAGAGAGTATGTGACAAAGTGCTATTTTCATTACAATATTGTAATAATGGTATTGGCAATAACATCTTAATATATATTGAATAGAAAAGGCTATAAAGAGTATACATCTTATTTTGGTAAAAAGTTATGTATATGCAAAAATTCTATGAAAAGTAATATAACAATGATATGATTTCTTATTTTTATCTGTGTTTCAACATTTTCTATAGAGATATTTTTTATAATAAACAATTGGTTACGTATATTCAAAAATAGCAAGTGAGAAAAAGAGGTCTGAAAAACTTTTACCAGAAAGTGCATATAAATATCTAGTAATCTTTTTACATACAAATTAGGCAATACAGCACCTCTATCCATTTAAGATATATTGTTTAAGCTTAGTGTCATACTAAAAATGGAAGGCAGGTTGGCTAGTGGGAAAGAGCAATAGTGCATGAAGGTATATAAAGGGACTTTTTGCTCAAGTAAAAGACTCTCTAAAAAGAATCCTGAACAGGAAGCCAATGAAATAATCTTCATCCTAGTTGTACTCTCAATTGTAATTCATTTGCTCAGAAGATGGAGGTTTTTGTCGGATATGTGTTTGTGTCTGTGCTAAGAGATTAAAACTCAGTATTACACTTTATAAAAGAAAAACAATCAATAATACATGTTATCAAATGGATAACATTGTCCATTTGAGGACCATACTTGCCTTTGGGTTGTTTGCATCAAACAGACCAGTTGAAAGTCCAATCAGCAAGGAGTTCTTGTTTGTATTTTTTGGTGGTAAATGCGAGTGAGATCGAAATGGAAAGGACTCTTCTGGTGAACACTGAACTGACTGAACTTGAGAGACCAAGTTCAAGTGTTCAGAGTGAACCACCTTATGGAAAAATGGTTCTGGTTGCACAGACTTATCTACATCACATTCAGAGTGCTGAGAATCATTGGTTCCAGTTTCTGTGGTAGAAAGGAGAGATTATGTGATAAGTCTATACAGTACTTAAAGTACTAAATGATATTGATAGGTCATAGTATGTAACACAAATTCTAACCAAAACCCCACATATCAGGAAAATAAAATCAAAATACATGTGTCAGTATATTACCTTCCGAATAATCTTTAACAGGATACAACGTTTTATCTTCAGGGGGTTGATTTAACTTGTTATACACTTCCATTATATTGAAAGTTCACAAGGCTGGGCATGGTGGCTAATGCCTGTAATCCCAGCCTGTCGGGAGGCCAAGGTGGGAGGACTGCTTGAGGCCAGGTGTTTGAAGCCAGCCTAAGCAATTATTTGAGACTCGTCTCCACAAAAAATAAAATTAGCTGGGTGTGGTAGTGCATGCCTGTAGTCCCAGCTACTCTGGAGGATAAGGTGAGGGTTGTTTAAGCCCAGGAGTTTGAGGCTACAGGGAGTTACAATTAAGCCACTACACTCCAGCCTGGGCAACAGAGTGAGACCCTGTCTCGCAAGAAATACAAACAAAAAGAAATAAAATTGACACAAATCCAAAGAAATGTGAAAAAATACATTTTTAGTTCCAATTTATCTTTGTTTCTATAGACAAAAAAAATTCTTTTTTCCTTTTCTTTTTAAGAGACATGGTCTCACTCTATTGCCCTGGCTGGAGTGCAGAGCCACTGCACTGCAGTCTTGAACTCCTGGCCTCAAGCAATCCTCTCACCTCAGCCTCCTGAGTAGCTGGGACTACCGGCATGCCTCCATGCTTGGCTAATTTAAAAATTTTTTCAGAGACAGAGTAATGCTATGTTGTCCAGGCTGGTCTCAAACTTCTGGCCTCAAGTGACCCTCCTACCTAAGCCTCCCAAAGTGCTGGGACTGCAGGTGTAAGCCATTGTACCCAGCCTACCTTTCTTATCCTTTAATACTTTTAAAAAAGAAGACAATTTATTTAATGGCCTGAGTACACTGGCTTGGCTTTGGCAAGTAATTCTATTTTTTTCTTTTTGAATACTCAATAAAAATAACAGACCAAAAAGTTTCACTGCCATGTTGCCATACAATCCAGGCTTATTAATGCATAGTCCAGTGCTCTATAATATTTTTTAAACGATTGAGATGACTGAGAAGGAATGCTTTTTTATGTATTACTCAAATGAGATATGTTGATGTTAACAATCATTAACAATCTTCCAGAAGTCATTAGGCTAATGCAATGATGCTTACCTATATGAATGTGACTAAGTTGGTCCACAGTACTCGAGACTCCATCTTCAGAAACTTCATTTTGCTGAATGGTGATCCTATCTTCCAACCTGCCACAGATGGGTATACCAATTAAAAACACACACACACACACACACACACAGTTCACCATAAATAAAAGTGCTCTAAAATACAGAAAATGAAACACAAGTTCACTAGCATTCTTTGATCCCTCTTCCAAGTATTTTTCTCACTTTCATACATATATATATATATATGAAATACATAGTGTACTTTTTCACATAAGTATGCTGTATTTTTCCCTGTTCACTGTGTTTTTCACCCACACTAAATAGTAATCATTCACCGTAACCAGGTTCACCACCTTTTACAACAATGCTTCTCTCAAAGTACCGTCCCCAGACAACAGCATAGTAAAGAAACTGGTTAGAAATACAAATTCTCAGGCTCGCCCTTGACCTATAAATCAGAAATTTTGGGGTTTAGCGCCCAGCAATTAGTTGTGAAAAGTCCCAAAGTCATTCTAATACATGCTAATGTTTGAGAACCACTACTTTAAAGAATGGGAATACCCTTTAAGAGTGGAGAACAGGGCCAGGCGCGGTGGCTCAAGCCTGTAATCCCAGCACTTTGGGAGGCCGAGGCGGGTGGATCATGAGGTCAAGAGATCGAGACCATCCCGGTCAACATGGTGAAACCCCGTCTCTACTAAAAATACAAAAATTAGCGGGGCATGGTGGCGCACGCCTGTAGTCCCAGCTACTCGGGAGACTGAGGCAGGAGAATTGCTTGAACCCAGGA